TCTTCAGCTCTTCAACTCTACCACTTGAGCCACAGAGCCACTTCCGGTTTTTGAGTGGTTTATTGGAGATAAGAGTCTCACAGACTTTCCTGCCCGGGCTGGCTTTGAACCTCAATCCTCAGATCTCAACCTCCTGAGGAGCTAGAATTATAGGTGTGAGCCACCAGCACCCAGCTATAGTTCATTTTTAACTCTTTTCTTTTCTTTTCTTTTTTGCTGGTCGTGGGCCTGAACTCTGGGCCTGGGTGCTGTCCCTCAGCTCTTCAGCTCAAGGCTAGCACCCTACCACTTGAGCCACAGCGCCACTTCCGGCTTTTTCTGCTTACATGCTGAAGAGGAATGGAACCCAGGGCCTCATGCATGCATCTACCTGTGACCTACCTTCCCAGCCTCTGGCCTTTTCTGTTTTTATGGTGCTGAGGAATAGAACCCAAGGCCTCATGCATGCAAGGCAAGCACTCTACCACTGAGCCACATTCCCAGCCCATTTTTAACTTTTCTTTATTAAAACCATATGACTAAACTGGGCCAAGTGGTGCCATGTCTTCCATCCCAGTGCCTGGGTGGTGGCTAGCACAGGCAAAGTTAGCAACACCCTATCTGAAGAACAATATACAAACAAAAAGTGCCTTTGCCCTGAGTTCAATCAATCAATTAAACCCAAACCTGGACTGACTGGAGATTTAGCTCAGTGACTAGCATGTGCAAGGCCTTGGGTTTAATCTTTAACACTAAAAAAGAAAAAGAAGGTAATAATCTTCCTTGTACCCAAAATTTTACACATTCATTAATATTTCCTTATAAAGTATTTCTAGATGTGCAATTGTGAATGAAATATGTTGGGAGCTGCTGACACTGCAGATAGGGTTCTGTAGTTGGCCAGGGGCCAACTGTGGGTATTGCTCACCTTCTCTCTTCCTCATTCTGTATACCCTGTGTTAGATGGTGTGCTTTGAACCAATAACTTTAACTAGGTTGTGACATGTATTTAGGAAAACCACTGTCTACAATTTATCCTTACTTGTGAACTTTTGTGCTTCAGGAAGTTAAGCCAATGTTCTGCTTTTGTGACTATAATACTGTGTGACAAAATTCATGGCTATTTGGGTCATCAGTGTTCTTGCTCCTTCCAACCTCATCTTTTGCCTGTCTTTCTTTTCCTTCCCCCCCCACCATTTTCTTTTAGGTTCTAGTGTGAAGAGGATGTGTCTTTCAAGTATTTCAGACAGATTGCTCTAAAAAGAACAGATCAGTTTATACAGACACCAGTATTTGAGTATATTTTTCCTTTTGTTGACATAAGGCATTTTTTGAGAGGCAAGTAAATCACAGTGATTCAGAGCATAGGTTAGAAAATCAGTTTGCAGTCTCAGTACCTCCATTTTTTGATTGTGTGATCTTCAGTCAGTTAGGCTGTTCTTAATTTTATCATGTAAGGATTAAGAGTTAGTTTTTTTTGGATCAGAAGTGAACACAATTTATACAGTTCCAGGTTTTTCTAAAACTGTGTAGATATGTTATCCTTATTAAGGTACAAGGAGTTGGATGGGGCCTAATGCATACCTCTGATGAAAATTCCTCTGGTTGGAACCAAAATCTTATGAAAACATGGGAAAATTTGAGATGCTCAGAATGAGTAAGAGACCATGTTTGCATAGAAGAATAACATGAAAACCCAGTATAAGAAAATAAATAATTGCAATGTCATTTGGCTATTTTTACCCTTGTATGGAATACAGCTGGGGTCATAAAGCTAGTAAAATACCAGTATCTTTGCATGTGGGACCGATGTGGACTATAACTCAACAAATACCATTCTATTTAGTATATCTATATCTATCTATATACCAAATATATATACAACATACATTGTATATATGTATATATGTGAACAGTGGTATTTTATATGTGTGTATATATACATATACAAATATATATATATATTTATATATATAAATTTTATTTTTGTCGGTCGTGAGTCTTGAACTCTGGGCCTGGGTGCTGTCCCTCAGCTATTCAGCTCAAGGCTAGTGCTCTACCACTGAAGCCACAGTGCCACTTCCTGTTTTCTGGTGGTTAATTGGAGATAAGATTCTCGTGGCCTTTCCTGCCCGGGTTGGCTTTGAACCGCGATCCTCGGATCTCAGCCTCCTGAGTAGCTAGGAGCCACGGGTGCCCGGCCCACTGTTCATATTTTGAAAGAAAAGGCTTGAGAGTTAGAAAGCAATGTGAATTACTCCACACAGTAATAAAACTAGACTCCAGACCTGTAGTTCTTTTAGCCTTGAGTTGTTTGGCCAATGAACGCTTTGTAAGTGCGCAGATCCTCCAAAGCCAGCCCTGATTACCGTCGGCCCGCCCCTGAGGGCCTGGGGAGCTCCCTGGGAATCAGCACAAGAAAGTGGCTCCCGGACTCCAGGTCATTTCCAGCAATTATCTTCGCGTCCGCTGATTGGTGGAGCTCTGTCCTTCTCGGCTTACAAGAGCTGACCCTGGCTGACGCGCGGGGCACCGACTGCCGGCGGGAGGCTGCCGCTAAAGGGTCTCGGCGACTTTCTTCCTGCACCAAGTTTCAGTTCCGAGGTCTAAAATCCAGACGCAAAATGGTTGCCTCCTCTCTGGCTTTCGTGAGAGCGAGCGGGCTTTGCCAGGGGGGCCTGAGGCGCTGGGCGAGGCTGTCAGGGTCCGCAAAGCTCCGGATGGGAGGCCAGATCACTCGGACCCCTGCCCGGACTGCGGCCACGGTGGTGGTGGAGCCCGCGGGCCGCGTGTGCTGGGACGAGCCGGTGCGCATCGCCGTGCACGGCCTGGCCCCCGAGCAGCCCGTGGCGCTGCGCG